GAGGGCTTTATTTGGTTTGTGTGCTACGGTAATGCAGTGTGGTTGTAATAGTCTGTTGGTTGTTTCTGAGATGTTTTTGATGTATAGTAGTGTTACCCTCTTCATACCTTATGTTGGTTGTGCTGTAGTGGATTGAGTGATCAGGCACTTTTTGATAAAGTTGCGTGGGTATCCATTTTGGATATTGAAGATTAGAAGACTTAGGACTGAACTTGCTGGCATTCCATTCAATAACTCAACCCAATCTGATAAGGAACCATTCATGAGCAATCTTTGAGCATGGATATTTAATTATCATGCCATCTAGCCCTCACAATTAGTGTCATGTCCTAGATAAGAGTATTGAACTAACAGCTTCGCAAATGTCAAGATATTTAAAGCATTCCCACAATCTATGAAGTAAATTATCTATTCAAAAAGTGAGATAACGTTAGTTGGGCAAGATTTATTTTTGAATATCTATGCTAACTATATATTATTCTTATTAAATCATTAATTTTATTAATTTTTAATTTACATTTTTTAATATTAATTCAATTATTAAATATAATTACTGCATTATTTTCAAGGTACGTACAAATCCATTTTTTATGATCCGCTTTAGAATCTTTCCATGCACTGATGTCAGACTGATTGGTCTATAATTCTCAGGGACTTTTTCCCTTTCTGAAGGTAAGATCATTAGCTGTCTTCCAGTCATATGGCATTTCACTAGCTCACCAACATTTCTCAAGTGTAATATATAATGTTTGATCAACTAGATTCTTCCTTGTTCCATTTGTCTAAATAATACAACTGGTGATGTTATTACATTACTATGCTGCTCTCTACAGCTTCCCTCTGCATGTGGAACTTTTTTCCAACATTTACACACAATCCTAAACTGGGATTTTATTTAAACCACTGGAGTGGCCTAGTTTGCACATAATGCTAAGGCATAATGTCTGGTTTGCACATGGCTTAAGCATTATGTGTGAACCAACTCTTTGTGTTATGCAGAGAAAAAGGAATAGTACCTTATGCTGACTGATGAACAAGCAATGCCATATTCAGAAAGCCTCCTTAATCCTGTACTTAAGGTGCTTATTCCTATTCAGTTTTTACCAGTTATCCCATCGGCTTTTTTAAAGCATATATTTATTTATTATAGTCTGTCTGGTATACTTTACTGTAGGGAATCATTAATGATAAATTTTTAAAAACCCAATCCTGTCAGTTTTTTAAATTCCATAGTTTTAATTTAAATCCAAGTTAAATTCCTAGAATTTAAAAATAGCCACTATAGCATGATGATCTAAGATAATCTAAGCTAGCCCTTCTTAATTTGGCATTTTCCATGTTTTGGAAAATCATAAAGAATAATGATGGTTAAAAGTCATGTTAGCTAAACTTGTCGCCTAATTTAGAAAGAACTGATTTGAGACAGTTCTATGATTCCATTTCCAATTATATGCTTTTCCGTGTTTTAACAACATTTTATATTTTGAAGCACTTACGTGGTTGCCCTGTTTCATCTTGGAAAACCTGTACCATATTCATCACATCCTCAGTTGCATGTTTCATAGCAAGTTCTAAAACAAAGTATTTTATAACTGTTTAGGTAAACTATATTTCATTACTCAGATCTATATAATTAATTCATAAAAAATACAAAAAGAAAAAGGACTTTTTTCCTATAATCCTGATTACATCCTCAAGTAGGTTTGATTATCTCCAAAACAAACAGTTCTGACTATTCCTAGGAATAGCAATTGATGGCATCTTTTCTGCAAAAACTTCTGTGCCTCTAAGCTTGTATTAAAGGGAAATAAAGTTAACAACTAAAACATTTTCCAACATATACAGTACTTGGCAAAAGTTTTAGGCAGGTGTGAAAAAATGCTGTAAAGTAAGAATGCTTTCAAAAATATA